TTTTTTTAGGAAGCGAAGACGTCACTGGCCGATCTCGTCACTGGAGATATAATGCGATTTTGATAAATATCTGGGGAAAAAATGTGAGGGATTTTGCAATAATTTACGAATTTATTTGTCGTAAAGTCGCCCGCAAGTTGAGTTGACTCGCCTGAATGCTTTGACTGGGGTTTTATTGCGAAGAAAACTGCCTCAAAAATCGATTGTTGAGGTATACCACAGATGGGCCGAATTTTCAATCGATTAGCGCATGACCTGTAGCGAAGAATCTTTTGCGTTTCATCGAGCCTTCATTCAAACAGTGGGTGGTTAATATTCGGCAACTGAACTCATTTTCGCTCTTAAGAATATCCAAGACTTTGGCCATATTTTTCGTTGGAGTCATTTCATTTCAAGCCATGAGGGGAAATTCTTTCTTCATTTCAATACGAATTTTCAACTTGAAATCTCTTCTTTCAAAATTGTTAGACTTTTTAATACGATCTCCGAAAGTTTAAACAATTTCTATTATTTATTCAGAAGAATGTCGCTGGATATTCCTGACTTTTTCGAATTCTTTTCACGCAATTTAATAGACAGTTTCGATACTCCTAATCACGTGTTTTTCATCACTTCGTGACATTAATTAATCACACTCAAATAATTAAATCGCCCTCGCCGAAATAAAACATACGTTACTCTTCTTTCTCCACTTCCGTAAATCCGGCGGAAAAAAACAACAAATTTCGCCTTCAAAGTCGTATTTTCCAGATCTTAAAAAATGTTAATTAATCAGAAATTAATTTTATCCAAAGAAATAAGATTTCCAAAAGCTTAACCAATCGCCATTATTTATTCACAAAAATGCCGCTGAATTTCAACATTTCTAACAACAAGTTTCTCATCAATTCGTGCCATTAATTAATCGCTTCCAAATAATAAAATCGCCCTCGCCGAATTAAAACCTGTGCTACCCTCCTTTCTCCACCTCCGTAAATCCGGCGGAAAAAAACAACAAATCTCGCCTGCAAAGTCCTATTTTCAAGATCTTTAAAAATTTTAATTAATCAGAAGTCAATCGAAATTAATTTTATCCATAGAAACAAGATTTCCAAAAGTTTAACCAATTGCCATTATTTATTCCCAAAACTGCCGCTGAATATTTCCAATTTTTTTCATATTTTCAATTTAATAGACAACTTCAATATTTCTAACAAATAGTTTTCCATCAATTCGTGACATTAATTAATCACTCTCAAACAAATTAACTTGGCCTAATCAAAGTGCAGTGTGTGTGACTCTCGTTTATTTATCTCCATAGATTCGGCACATAAGGCAACAACAGGGTACGAATAGTCATGATGTACAACAAGGAGAAGTCTCCTCCTCAGACCCGGGTTATCTGCGTATCGACCAAGTTGGACCCGTTTTACTTGAGGTAAAATTAAGAAAAACCCTTGACCCTTGCACAGTATACAAGACCCAGTAAATTGTAGATAACAAAGTGTTAATTTTTCATAGGCATTGGATGGTTTTCTTTTCGTCGTAAATACGGAGGGTAGAGTGGAATACGTTACGGATAATATCCAAGACTATCTGAATTATACCAAGGACGATGTATTCGGGAAAATTATTTATAATTATATTCACCATGGCGATCATCAGTCTTTTATGCCAAACATGTTACCTATTCCATTGGGTCAGTATCCAAACTGTAAGATTCTTGTCGAGGATATCCAAATGAGACAGTCCCTGCATCGATTGATTGCACAGAAATGAACTCACTAAACTCATTAATGTGCAATTATCACTGGCAATTAGTATTGTCTGGTGGATAGACATCACTGACTGTCTCCTGAAAGAATCCCAAAACTGTTGTTCACCAAAAGCCGAATCTACCGCAGAGACTGTCGCATTAAGCTATCCCCAGAAGAATCTCTCCCTCTGAATAAATCAAGTTCTCTCCCGGGATTGAACCCTCTCCTTCGATCTACTTATTCATTTCTCTCTTTCTCCTATCTTTTTATGTCATAAATAGGGTTGCCGAACGTCGACCCTCAGCCGCTAGTGAGAAATCGTATGTTCAACTGTCGTTTTTTGGTGAAGCCACCCGATGATAAAGACGAGACTATGGAAGAGAAGCAGCAGCGTGTATTCAAATACGAAACAATGCATGTATCCGCTGCTTTACTTCCTAATGCCGATGATCATTTGGAGAGTGGTGATGTATCATCAGAATCATCTGACATTGGTCCATGTATACTGTGTGTAGCACGTAGACTACCGAGTAGTGAGAAGCCAATAAGTACAACAACTGTACAACAATTTACCGTTAAATTGGATACAACGGGGAGGGTATTAGCTCTCGATACGAGTTGGCTATCGTCTTCTTATTCTCAGTACATAAACAAGGTAAAAGATGTATCTCATTCTGATGCTGGTCAGAGTGAGAGTGATTGATATGAATTTACCAAGTTTGAATGAAGCTGAAATTAGCAACAGATTAACTCTGGGAGAATCTGGGGATGTTAAACCATTTTTAAAAAATGTACGAAATCTTTGGCAATTGAAAAACATTTGTACATGTGATTGTTCGGCTCTTAAACCTCTGAACTGAATTTATCGCTGTCGAATGCTCGGCTAGTATCAGCTCCATCGAGTTTGAGTATCTTCGGTTGTACGTGATAGACGAGTGTCTTTTTATTGCTGTTCACGGTTGACCGCGATCAAGGGTGAGAATGTCTGTTCCCCGATCTTTTTCGTTGGGCATCCATCAAGCGTGAAGATGATGAGGCAAACATCCTGAGGGTCGTATGATCAAACATCCGAAATGCCTCGAGAAATTCAATCAACACCCAATTGATACTTGATTAATTATCAGCTATGGGGATAATAATTCAATCATACGACCATGAGCAGCAAAAACCTGGACATGTCCAGAGTATTCTCGTGTTAATAATTAGAAAAGTGGTCGATAAAAAAATGCTGTCCCTCATTCAATAAATCACTCAACAACATGTTTAGCGTACAAGTTGTGGGTACTTAGAATTCTGTGTATTGCGCCCCTATATACCGTAAATCAACATGAATTTTCTTTTTATTTCTGCGATCAAGGATTCTTAACTTTGCTTGGCACACCCACACTATTTTCACAATGCAATGCTTCTAATTGAGATGATAATTTCATTATCTAGGACCTGATTGGAACTACCATCCAGGACTTGTGTCATCCGCATGATCTCAGTAAAGTAACTGCTCATTTAAAGGAGACGATACAGATTGGCGAAGGAACAAGCTCGATATATCGATTGCGAATCAATGCAGATACCTTCGTGAATGTTCAAACAAAGTCCAAAATATTCAAAGCTAATGCGCTGAACGGCCATGATGCAGACTTCATCATGTCCACCAATTCAGTAATTGGGTAAGATAAATATTTATTATTTACAATCATAATATTAATAACAACGACCTCAGTATTGCCGGTCTAACCATTATACTTAACCGCTTATCAACACTTTATTGAAACGAAAACAAGAAAACCTTAAGAATTTATATTACAACATGATACCACTGAACCCGTTCATCAGACAGCACTGCTTTATTTTATATTATTTCTTCGGTGTTGGAGATCTGGCCACTCTTGACAATTTAAGTTTATCTTTGTATATATTGTTTACAGTTAAACTTACAAACACACAATTTACCACATTGTTTGATCTTATTTTACCTCCTCAATTTTATTTATTTACAATTGTATTAGCCATTCAACGACACCCTATTTAACAATTTCAAAGCATAATGAGTAATACAGATACTTGAATAACTGGTTACATGGTTATTAACTCAACTAAATGATAAATAAGTCAGTAGTCAGTAGTGTTTGATTAAGTATCCTAGTAATAGCCGAAGAGAAAAAAAGGAAAATAATGTCAAAGTGTCAATATTTTTTTTTTCTGTCCACCGTATTTCCCAGGGACAATGATTTAGCGTCAAACGAGGGTGGTCAGCTTTCCAACAGCAAAGTGTGCTCAGGACACTCTAGTAACAATAGTGCGAATAATAGTATTAATAATAACGGTAATAATAACAATAACGTTGGTGGCCCGCTAATGTCCGTGGTACATGTGAACGGTCAAGTGAGTGGTATAAGCGGTCGTACAATGAGTAATACGAGTGGACAATTCATGAGTGATAATTCCCTTATTACCCAAAATTCGAGTACGACAAATCCATTTCATCAATTCACAAGTAACGATGATTTGGAGTTTGATATATTTGAAAATTCCCCATGGAATTTGGACAGTAGCAGTTGTGCTGATAGGCCTGAATCAAGAAATACAGTGCCATCAAATTCACGACCGCCCTCCCAGCCAAATCCAACATCACCAAGCCCACAATCAACGTACACATCAAGCTCAGCTGTTGCAGTATCACACTGTAGTCCACTCCAGGCATACAGTCCATCATCAATGATGGGTGCACATACCTTCAGTAATACCTTCCCATTCAGTCCACTACAGGAATCATCATCACTTATTGGTGGTGTTATCAATGGTAAGGATACCGTTGGTGGTACATCAAATGCATCAGGACAGTCTGGTACAGCGTCATTGTCAGCACCATCAACACCACCAATAACAAGTTGTACAACGATTAGCGTGACGTCTGGTACGTCATCATCGACAACAGCATCGACACAATCGACATTGACAACGATGACGAGTTCAGCTGTTACACCGGCTACTATACCAACGACTAATTTAATCACCACTGTTGATAACAGTAGTTTAGGGAGTGGTGACTCTGGTAGGCTTAGGAACTTGTTGACTAAGGGAGTTAGTGCGAGTAGTGAGGAGACACAGGACATGGCTAACAGTGAAACGGAGATGCAGAATCAGAACAATAGGATATTGAAGACACTACTCAATCAGCAGGATGACGAGGAGTATCCTTGTGAGAATCCAGTTAAATTGAGGTCCAGTCCGAGTGTTCAGTCGAAACCCATTGCTGAGCTCTCCAAATCTACACTTGGGAATCACATGCTGCTGCAGGTAAAACAAACTATCGAGTTTATTCAGGATATCCAAGTACTTTGTGCTTTCATTTGAGACCCAAAATGGGTTCCAATGGAATTATTTAAACTTTGCACGTCTGAATTTGAATCTCGATATCGAACATTTGAAACATTTTAAAAATCTGAAAAAATTATAAAGTTCAATTTTGGCGGAAGATTGATAAAATAATTTAAAAAATACGATAATTTATAGACAATCGATTTTCCACGAGAGAAATCATTTGTTCGAAATTTTAACAAATTTATTTATATTCCGAATTTTACTAGAAATCGATTTCATACGTAAAAAAATAAGATTTCCGTAAGTTTAAATAATTTCAATTATTTATTTATGAATAAAGAATGCTGAAAAAATAATAATTCTGTGCAAAATATATTTTAATGACGCTGAATATTCATGATTTTTTTTTACTCTTTTCACGCAATTTAATCGACATAATTGACGTTTGAAAATGATTGATTGATAAAATAATTTGTCCTCTTCCCCTGAAGCTATTGAACGAGAAAAGTGACGAGGACGACGACACTCGTGCTGGTCTGAAGAAGCAGCAGACCGAGCTCCTCCAGCAACTCCTGAAAAACCCCGACGAAGAACGAAAAATGCAAGACTCCAACAGAGAGAGTGACTCCCTCCTCCGAAGTCTCGGCTTTCAATCGGCTACCTCGTCGTCATCCAAATCCGTCGACCATGGACACCATGGACCCAGCCAAATTGGCCAGAAGAGGCCGAACGAAGATGGTGATATAAATGTGGCAACAAAACGTACTATGGACAATTCCCACCAGGTGTCGTCGTCGGGGAGCACCACTGCCTCGAATAATTCGCCGAGCAGGTTGTGGGAGAAAAATAAAATGCTAGCTTCCTTGTTGGCTAAGCAACCCTCCCAGCCAGCCACTATCCCACTAATCCCTGCATCTGTGATATCGGCAACTCCACAGGTAAAAGCAAAAAGCGAAAAATATCAAAAATACAAATAACACAAATGAATAATTCAGTCGATTTTGACTAATGTTCAGTTTTCAGTGAATATCTCGAAATCTGAGGGAGATGGTGAAATTGTTGTCATGACCTTTTTTATGGCCCTCAATTCGCTCTACAAAAAAGGTCATTACAAAAATTTCGGTATCTCCCTTAGATTCGGAGATGTACCTCAAAAACTCAGCTAATAACCGAGTCGACTTTATCCTTTCGCCCCTGAATTGCACCTCGAAGAAAATAATTGAATGTTGTGTCATTTTTTCGTGTCATTCAGGATAAATTGCCACAAGTTAGCGATCGGTTAAAGCAACAACAGCATCCCCAGCAACAGCCGTGGACAGCCAGTGGTATGCCCCAATCAATCGGAAGTACAGCAACAACTACGATTGCTACCTCGGCCCGTACTCCCCTTCAAAATCCATCGAGACAACTACCTCGCCAATCAACCAGTATCTACCTCAGTCACATGCTAAGTCACGTGAGTAATTTTCGACTAAACCCCCTCCAAATCCCCAAAAATTAATTAAACATCTTCATCTTCACGTATTTGTTTAATTTCTCACCCTCAGGAGAGACCTCAGATGGGTCAAATGGATTCTGAATTCGCCAGTAGTGGAGATTTCACTGGTAACGATGCGTCAAATACCTGGAACAATCAGACAAATGATCGGACCCCCGACGACATTTTGGATCTAGTCATAAATCTCGACCCAGAAGGAAAGCCAATTCCAATAAACGAATCAACGATATCTCAGAATATGTTGAATGCTATTGAAATACCCCAGAATAATCTCCAGAGTGTGGACAAGGAGGCGATCGACACTATTCAAAAATTTCTAATGGGATATGAGAATGAGAAAGCTAATGCCACGTCTTCCACGTTGACGATGTCCTCGACGCCTCCAGCATACTCGACAGCGGTACGAAATGTACTAAAACCATTTTATTATTTTATTCTGTTGATTTTAAGAGGAGACTACTGTGAGTTTTGAAAGTCGCGGGTTGTTGGAGAGATTTATCACACATTGAAGAGCGGTTGTGTCTAAAAACGAATTATTAGTCCGAAAACATTAATTTGTTATTTATTTGCCAACATTTCAATATTTTTGAACAATATTTTGTTGAAATTCGACTCCTACACAGCTAATTTTCTTTTGTTTAATTTAAAAATTTGCGCGATTCATGTAAAATAGGCAGAAAAATTATCCTGAAAATATTAAAAATATATTGTCAATTCTATCAAAAACGTTTTTCGAGGTGTTTCATATGAATGGTGCAATTTTTAATTAAAAAATTGCAATTTAAAAGTACTAATTCGTAATTGTTATTGTACATATTAAAAAAAAAATCTCTACCTCAAAAATTGGAAGCCCTGGACTATTTTTAGCATTTTAAGCATCTGCGAAGCAAACGAGCAATAAACAATTAATTTTATTGCCCTAATTATTCGTTTTAAGGTCTTCAAAGTACGAGAAATCTCATTCCAATAGCTCACGACTCTTAAACCTCACAGTAGTGTCCCCTTAATCCCTTCCAATGATTCAAAAAAAATACGTAAAAATAATTTCAATTCCAGTTGGGCAGTGCAATGTCCGTTACAACAGCCCATCAGTACCAAGCACCCCCGATGTACCAGCAGCAACGTCCAAGGTTTGCCAACCAGACGGGCATAAGGCAGACAACAACACCGTTCACACCTCAGCAGCAGGCACAGCAGCAGCAGCAACAATTGTTGCATCAACAGCAACGTAGTAAATTAATCCACCAGCAGCAGTTGAAGCAACGATTGCTGCAGCAGCAGCAACAGCAACAATTGCTGATACCCTCTAATGCTACAGCACCCGACCAAATAGCTGCTGGCATACACAATATCGATAGCCTTCTCAATAACACTGTGGCACCAAATGTCTCGTTACAGGTGAGTTGATCCCTCTGACTGCAGATAATTAATTCGTTTTATCGGGGGGAAAAGATTGAGCTCATGTTGATTGCTTCTGATTACAGCGATCCAGTGTATCGGATTCTCAAATGTCACCTGGGTATGGAGGCTCCGTCCAATTATCTGCTACTCATCGCCTTCAGCATTCTTACTCTCATCCTGCAACGATAACACAACAGTGAGGAGAATTTATGAAATTATTGATTGATGACATTATTATTCACTTTGGTTATTATGACAAATCTTGTTGCCATCAGAAAATTATTTCTGCATTTTAACGAATTATGATATTTTTATTATTCTGGCTCGTTTTCGTAAGAACAACATTAATTAGTGAGAGAAAAAAATTACTATACAATATTATTGAATTAACAATTCAATTTTATTAACATTAAGATTAATATTCAATCTTTTTAATCCTCTGACAACAGTATAAAAAATTTCGCATAATTGATGAGTCACAACATAAATTTATCTAATTGTCATTTCACGATGCTATTAATTAATTTAGCTTTACCAGGCCCTAAAAACCAATTAGAATAAAAAAACGATGACACGATTTTTTTTCAGTCCTGTTGTTAATAACAGTTTCAACAGTGGACAACAAGTCTCCGCCCCGTCTCGACTGTCACCCCATTCTCCAGCCGGAATGCTGTCGTTCTCCCATCCCCAGCCTCTGTCACCCAGAGTTTCGCAGGTAAAAATTCAAAAGAATAGTTCAATTCCCTATGAGGAACGTCAGAAATCGCGTTGTTGCAATGTCTGGATTTTTTTCTTGTCAGGGAAACTATGGAAATAGTCCACGAATGTTCAACGTCAGTCAGACACGTGCCCAGCAACAGCCAGCGAATCAGCAACTCCAGCAGCAGAGATCGATGCCATCACCTGGTACAGCTGTTCCAGCACGACAATCTCCGTATCCTGCCGAGGCATTTCCACCCCCTGCCTCCCCAACTGCCAGTCAATTTCCACCTGTGCAGAATCAGTCTGGTGGCAATCCAACGGGCCAATATCGACTTCAACGAGCCACATCAACGCCAACAGCCACCACACAGTTGCCAGGTATTATATCACAATTTCTAATTATCCTGGGACACTGCACATTACACTTGTGAAGAAGTTACTTAAGCACAGGCAACACTTAATTTGTAAATATTTGTGTGATGATGGTAATGAATAATAACGGCTTCAAAGTGATTAATTAACAATATGAAAATCCATGTGAAGGTAAGTATGGATTAAAGATAATTTCATTAATCTATTGTTTCCACTGCATGTCAGATATTTTTCAGTGTAATTAGAACTGGTGGCGTTTAATGTCCGTTAATTTGGCAGTTGAATGAGGTTTTTACCCGATTGGGGAGATTCCAGTGGTTCAATACTGCGGTTTCATAATTTTTCTCTATTCTGTATAAAAAATTCGGCAATTCTTGCTTTGTTGACACCTCAAATTCGTGAATATCGCAATCAACTGGTCTATATTCATCACAATGGTGGGAAGTATTATTGATTACATTCGCGGATGGTATGTGGGGTATCAAATGCTCTCTCGTCAATTACGAAATTATTAATATGAAAAGGGTTCACGAGCGAAGTGAGGGAACTGAATAAACATTTCTAAAACTGAAGAACACATTATTTTAGAAGGGATTTTTATAGTTGAAATCACTTGAAATCCAAAATGAATTAATTCATTTTTTTTGTCAAACTTAAGTAGATTTTTGCAAAATTCTAATTATTCTTCAAAAAATTAATGGATCTTAAACTGAAATCGACCCATCAAATGTTAACTCTATAAAACTCTATAAATTCACGATGAAACTGAATTGACCCCTAGAATCTCCCAAAATCCACAAAAAAAATCAGTATAGAGGTAGAATTTTGAAAATTGTTTCAGGTGGGGTGGGCTCACCCCGTCACTACAGTAGTGTGAAGGACCAACAGTCGCTGCTATCACCTAGTCACCAACGTGCTGGTTGTCCACAAACCCCCAGCCACAATGTACCAAACAATCAGCACTTCAACCAACAACACTCGTCCATGATTTATCGAAATTCTGGTAGTAATGTTAATACCCCAGATGTACAGAACAGCCAGTTCTGCTACGATCAGGGTAGTGTGCCTGTTTATTCATCAGGTCCCGAGGACAGCAGGTCAATGTCATCAAGTAATCCAGCGAGTCATCAAATGGGTGGTAAGTCATGTGACCCGGATTAATGTCATGTGACAATCACTGAGTATCATCTGTGATTAATAATAACAATCATTGGGTTACATTACTTGCTGGAGGAATTAATGAGCAAGTGCACGGGGTCAATTTTATCCTCAGGGAGCACATCAAGATATTGATAATAACACAATGCTCCACTGTTTTCTCCACAATGAGCAATGGCTTGGGATTAAATCGACGAAAATTTTGTCATCCTTTGTACATAATCATTGAATGTATCATATTCATCACCACACATTGGCAAATTTTTTAATCGAAATAGGAGAGAAGTGGGTTTTATATTTTTAATGAACAAAGAAAAATTATTCCCCATGAAATGGACGTACCCACTCTCTCCTAAAAATATTTATTTTATTTGTGAATCGTTTGCATGAAGCTTCCACGTGAATTATCAAAAATTCTCATGGCGTCATTTTATAACTAATTCGCTACTGTGATAATGTTAATTCATTCTTTTTGTAAATAACAATGTACATTACATCTGTCTCTCCACATTCGATGAATTGTTCTCTCTGTTCAATCTTCCCCATATTATATTGTACTGATATTCATACAATTTATTGTTGCAAAGAAAGTGAAAACAGGAGAATAAAAGAGGAAAGAAATGTGTTTTTTGTATTTTGTAAATCAATCGTTGTGTCCGAGTCATGGACGTGAGTAAACTGTCCCACTGAGGTTTAATCTTTCAGCTTTTTGTTTTACCTATTGCATTCATCTCCGCATTCTCCCTCTCTCGCTCATGTCCATGTCTGGGACAATGGCACTGACTATTGTTGTTTTCTTTGCATTTTTTTTTTAATTTACAAATTGCATAAGAGGAAACTACAGATATCGTTTACATTGGCTTTAAAAATTGCACTCAGCTTATTTATTCATAATACCAGTAAATAATGCACAATGCACAAGGACAATTAATCAAATTCATACACCAGTGGTGTCCTCTTATTCAAGAAGAGTAAATTGATGAGTAATTTTTCTATATAAATACTAATGTAAGAATAAAGCAAATGTTACATCACTAAATGTGCTGTTTGTTGTCGTCCTCATCACCATCATCATCAATGTTCTTGTTCACGATAAATATAACATTTATGTGTACAAATGTGACAGCCAGAAATCAATATCTAACGGGAGAAGAACACGTGTTATTTAGCATGAAAATGTCTGGGGAATTTTTTTACTGAAAACGGGAGAATTTCAACTGACAACGCCTGGCGCATTTGACAGTGTGTTGTTTTGGAATGCACTGGAATCGAATAGTCAGGGGGTTTCAATAAAATTTTAATTTAGAAAAAGACCTTGAAAAATTTGATAATTTATTAATTCAGTTTCAGTTCACGAATATTTCCAAAAATTTTATGTATAAGAAAAGAAGTAAAGCATTTTTTCTCTTTCTACCGCGCATCAAGATGTGGGGGAAAATGTTGAAAAGATGAAAAGACAAATTTTGTAAAAATCTTCAAGTCAATTTGATGCAAACTTAAATGTTTTTAGTCTGTGAATTCGGTAAATTTTCTGGCGTTTCAATCAGGGACTTCGCATTTCCCTTTATAATTTTGGAGGTCTCGATGATCACTGAAAATAAATGACTTCACACAGCCTAATAAACGCTTAATTCTGTGATTAGGAACCAACAGCGGTGGGATGACGTCTGAATTCGTCAGACAGGAATTGCGAGCAGTGGTGGGAGCTCGAACACAGCAAAGGGTACCAAGTAATATGCAGAATAATCTGATAGGCCAAGTGTCGCAGGACGATCTCGAGGCCCTTGGTTTATCCTTCGAGATGTCACCAGCAGGTAAGTCACCTCCATCACCCCAAATCCCCAAAAAATCTCAAATAAAAATTATCCATAAGGATAAGATAAGTCGATAACTCATGAGAATCTCTCACATAACAAGTGTATCACCCTTGGCCTTGTCTAGCATATTGTTCCACAATGCATTATGACCTTGAGAAATAAATAAACCCTAGCTGTGTTCACCATAGAGACCAAACTTGATCGATATCACCATGCCCTCCACTCATTTATTAATAATTAGCTGTTGCACGAATAGATTAAAGATGAAAATATCTCACTCATCACTTGCAACTCTAGCCCCCTCCCCCTCTCCCCCTGATCCACGCAATCTAAATACGTTCAGTGACACGTTGCAAAGTCAATTATCCATGAGTGTACATACATCACGATTTTTTCCAATTATCTTCTCAAAAATATGCTGTGAAAAAGTATTACGAGATTATTAATCAATAACTCCGAGCGCAGAGAGCGCATTAAAGCGAATAAAACGGGCTTTCATCGGACAATAATCGACGAATGAATAAAAAAAGCCAATCAATACCGTTTGCAACGCTAATTCCAACATTTACGATGTATTTATCTTCATGTCCATTATTGCGTTAGTCTCGTGTTTGTACTTCATAGCCATCAGTTAAATCGCCTATGATTACCAGCAATCAATTCACGTGATCATCAAGTATGTCGTCAGTTTTAAAGAAACTGCAGTTAAAATTAAACTCAAATTAGCATTTTAAAAAACGATTGTGGTAACATGTATTGTTACAATGTCCTACCTAGGTGAGGCTGTGGTTAGCGATGGCCCTGCCAAGAGCTGGGCCATTGGGAGTGCCGGAAGCGCCCCCTCCTCCTCCAGGGTAAGATCCCTCCGACAATTACATTATTTTTTCGTAAAAAATTATAATGTATTTCTTTTTGTAATGCTCTGTTCTACCCTCTTCGCTTGGCTTCAAAGAAATGAATTAAAACATCTGAAAGGAACTTTGTTGTGCACGATACATTGATTAGTTACCATTTTTAATTGTAAGCGTGACTCTAGGACTATGATTATTTTACGATAGTTGTTTTTTTGGCTTTCTACTGCATGCGAGGATTACTACGAGGATCATTATTGAAAAAATTTGCCCACAGAATACTTTACAGAAGATCATTCGTTATCCTTTTATCTCGTCTTCTCCATAATTAATACCTTCTCGACTCTGTCATGCCTATCACAATTAGATAATATTCAGTTATTGTTTACTGTAATTCTACTGCCTCACGGTTGTGGGTATTCAAGAGCTTGAAAACAAGATTATGAAGTCAAATAAACAGTTGATCCATTAAAAATTACCACGTACACTGTTACTGTCGAGTGATGTTTATTTTTTAGTTTTCTTTTTTTTTTATTGAATTTAGGTAGTAATGCTTTTTCACAGTGTAGCAATAATTTTTATTTACGCTTGATATTCTGTTTCCTACTTATTTATTTTGAGCATAAAGATTGCGCATGCATACGTCAGAAATTCGTTGAAACGGAATATATTTTTCTTGTGACTTTAAGAGATGAGAAACATGAAAATTCATGATTAGTGAATAATATCAAGTCTGTAATGACGAATGGGCGATTGAGGGGATCCTTTATTCACGTGAAATTTCGTCATTTTTTTCAGAATACTATGGAGGAAGTAGTACGAGGTGATCCGAAATCGTCACTCCTGCAGAAACTCCTGTCAGAGTGACTGCAAAGTTATAAGATGTATGTAATATATGTTAAGATCACGTTAAAATGATGAACAAGTGGGAGAATTCTTCGCCTCACCCCAGCGTCTGTAAACATTCTATACGTAATAACAGCAAGTAATGTTGTATTATATGTAATAATGGTTTTAAAAAACATAAGCAGATGTCTCACCAAATACCCAATACCAGCCAGTCGTACGTCGTGGTCGTATCGTTATCGAAAAATCAATAAAACGAAAAGACATGTCGAATACTTGACACTCACTTCCGCAATCACAAATGAACGGTTAATGATTTTCTTCTAATGATGATTATGTCTCGTGAAATTTAATTATCAAGTCGCCTGATAGCAATTGCATTTTTTTTCTCCCGTAGATTTTACCGAAAAATGACAGCTGATTGAAGAAACTAATCTACGCGTACACTAGTTCGGTACGGTACACTTTGGTCAACAAAAGGGAAGAAAAAAAATTTTTAATGAATAAAACTACGTAGGTACCTCACCGGTATACATTACTATACCACTGGCTGTTAAACACATAGGATTATTTATAGGTTTTATTATAATGAAATTCGATTGATGAAAATCAACAGATGAAGGAAATGAGGAAGAAAATTAACTAAATTAAAACGAATGAAAATAGTGAAAGATGATACCCCCTATCCGCGTTTACCGCTTAATTTAACAACATTTTACCTATTATATGAGAATATTATCTATATAATATATTTGTGATTGTAAGAAATCTGCAAACCAAATTGTGACAAAGAATGAAGAAAGGGGATTAAGGGGAAAATGAGAGAAAGAGAGAAAAAAAAATGATAGTTGTTGTTGTTAATATGATTATTATAAAAACTATTATTTTATTATTTTATTACTATTACAATTTGACATTATTAATTATTAATCATTGGTCATTATTATTGTTGCAATTATACATAGAAATGTAAATTATTCGTAAGAGAAAGAAAAAAATTTTGACTACTATTATATCAGTTTATTCTCATCATTAATTAATATAATGAATTATATTATTACCATTTTAATGAAAAAAAAACGATATTAGTATTTTCGACGGTAATGCGAAAATGTTAAGCAACAAATGAACGTGTTATTACGTAATAAAAGGGTAATTTCAATTCAATTTTAAGGGTACCTCTACAAATATAAATATATAAAAATATATATTGGCATACAGGTTTACATTTGAAAATGAAAATACCTGAGTGTATTCGTGTATGCATTTAATGTATATAATAATGCATGTGTGCGTGTGCAAGCGCCCTCGTGTCTGTACGTAAAAACAAAAATGTAGCGATTTAAAATTAACGATAAATAATACATAATTACGATAATTATAACGAAATCGATCTTCTATTTTGCATAGCCTGGTGAAGAAAGAAAAAAAAACAAAAAATGATAAAAGAAATATCGCTCTTTGGGGTACTCGTATGCACACTGAATTAAATAAGAGAACATTTGTCAGTTGTTATATATAAATAAAGATGAAAATTTAATCGCGTATACGATATATATTTATGTAATTTATTTATATAAATATATATTTGTATATACTCACCTGTATGCGCGTATAAATCCATGCATACTTAATGAAAAATGAGAAAACAAAAAAATAACAAATTATATTGATGAAAAAAAAAACAAATCTCACACAAGTGTCCTATTTTTCCATAGAGTTTGGCGGCAATTAAACGTAGCTTTAAATTACACAATTCACGAATTAGAATGATTAAAAAAAAATGTAATGAGAAAAAATTAAATGACGAGCGACAGAGGGAAAATAATGAAAGCAATAAGCTGCAGGCAGAATCATCGCTTTACCAAATGTCTCGTGAAATGAGCATGAAAAATTCGAAAAATCTGTACAACAATTGACCGTAAATCTAATTACAATAATTCGTAATTCGACAACCAGCTAATTCTTGTTATCGTTATATGGTATTTTGCCCCGTCCCCCTTCCCCCGCCCTCCCCCGCCCCTTTCGTTTTTTATTGATTATTTTTTATTGGTGCGTATTAATGGTTGTAATAAATGTTAATTACGTTTTATTATTTGATATAAGGAGAAATGAATTAAATGAAAGTTACACGATAATTAGGAATTACCCTTTTGTCAGCACAATTTATTCAATTTGGAAAGAGAATAAATGGGATTTAGAAAGAAAGATAAAATGATGAAATTGAAGAATATGTTATAGCACTCTTTGGAAGTCACACATGAGTGAGATGTACTCTGTTTTTTACATACGCGAGCATACATGTATATTTTCTGTGTTCTCGTTTTTTTTTCTTTTCCATTATTTTCATTGAAATGAAAAATTGAAAGAAAAATAAATAATTGTATGTCTAAAAGTATATATTATTATATATTTACGGACAAACTGCATGCATGTGTCTGCGTGTGTGTATAAAGTGAATTTAAAAGATGGGAAAAAAATACAAAACAAAATACGTCATATAAATAGATCATATGTGCTTTCTAATGATGAATAATTTTATAAATATAAACGTAATACTTATATTTTGTGTATTATCGTTTATTTCATCCTTTGAGTCCTGTTCAAAGTTTATCATTAGGGTTTCATTGAATAAATTAAATTATTCAGGTAAAAAGGAGCTGTAATAAATCATTTATTTACATTATCCTGCATGGTACAATTTTACAATAAAAGGAGAACTATCGTCTTTACGAGCACTCTAAAAACAGTCGTCTGTGCAATACAAAACAGATATGGAGGTCCCTTTCCTCTCATCCTCTTGAAGCGCAGAAATTACACATCAATCACATGACAGTTGCCCTCACATCTGTCTCCAGAAAGGATTTCACAATTGGAATAACCAGACCGATGACACTGTCGTACGTAGCAACTTTCAGGGCAAAGTCAGCGACTGTTAGAATATTCTGCTGGGTAAGTAGACTCTTCACTGCCATTGCGAGACGAACTTTTTGGACTTTGCTCAGCTCGTTGAGGAGAACGTCTGGAACCGATCGGAATTTTCCGTTCATCCTGTAAGCTGTTGTAGCACCAGCTACCGTGCCACCTGGAGAACAAATAATCCTAAGAAACCTCTGAATGCTGGGCAGTGCCAAGTACAGAAAAATTGAAAAATTTATTGAAACATTTCTTTCACAGGGACAGAATAGAATAGAATACTGTATTCTCTTGATCTACTATTACAGTTTTACATGTGGACGAGCCACAGGAAAATACTTCCAGTAACACTCCAATAAATTATATTCTTTATGTCAATAATGCATAATGAATAATGATATCACAATATCACAGTTTAAGCAATTGCAACAATTATTGGAATCCAATCTCCTGATTTTCGTTAAAAAATTATGATTAATATTTTCTTAGAAATATCCTAATTAAAAACCTACGCTTCTCGTCCAAAGGGATCGCTCCAGAACCGATGTAAGCAATAATATCAATACTTAAATTTAATTACAATTAAATTCAGAAGTGGTAAAATGGTTTAAGTCGACTCCCCTCCCATTTCAGTTTTTGAGGAATATTTCCGAATCTAAGGGAGATAGCGAAATTATCGTAATGACATTTGTTGTAGCTCTCAATCGGCTCTACAAAAAAGGTTCCAACGAAAATTTTGCCATCTCCCTTAGATTCCGAGATATTCATTGAAAACTGGCCAATAATCGAAACTGACTCAAATCGTTTTACGACTTCGGTACTGAATTCAAGTATCGAATGGATCTTCGTCACAACAAACAACATAATTACCAAAGGCCAATCCCCACGGCCCCATCAACAACCCGCAGATTGTGGTCACTGTACCAACAATAATCCCCGACTTGACGCTGCTCTCGATCGCAATCCTCATGGACTTTATCTCTCCAATGTCACAAACGACACGAAGAAGTTCCTCTGCGTTCTCGCTCAAGGCCATTCCAGATGATATATCACGGTATTCGTCCCCCAACTGCGGAGAAACTCCGCTCGGAGCAGATTGACAGGTTAAAACAGATGACAGATGCGATGTTTTGGATAACAAACCGCAGCAGCTCCCCCGCGGAATATTGACGAACAATGGACAGTCAGCTGATGAGCAGTTTGGCTCGTTTTGGTTCGTGGCTGGAGATCGTTGTCTTTTCAAACAACCAGACGTGTTAAACAGTCGTCAAAATTCGATTCTGTTGGCATTGGCATTGACACGATGGCTGAATACACTGTGATTACGTCGGATTTCGTTAATTTGACGATTTCAAACTCCGGACAGCAATCGTGCTGCGTCGAGAGGAGGTTTCAGAAGGGAATTACCATAGGCGATTTTAAGGTAAAGTTACGAAGAGGAACAATTCTGTCCCCTCGTGACGAGCCTAAACTGAGCTCGATTGATTAATTTGTTTCTGAGTTATGAATAATTTTTAAAGTCTAAAGTGTCCAGTTTACCCCACCCTCCCCTATGTCAATAAATTATCAATTAGGGGAGGCTGGGGTTAAATGGACTCTATTGACTTTTTCTAAATGTTAATGAGAACATTTCTTTCCCGTTGTGATGAGCCTAAACTGAGCTCAATTGATTAATTTGTTTCTGAGTTATGAATAATTTTTAAACAGTCTAAAGTGTCCAGTTTACCCCACCCTCCCCTATGTCAATAAATTATCAATTAGGGGAGGCTGGGGTAAAATGAACTCTATTGACGTTCTTTAAATGTTAATGAGAACATTTCTTTCCCTTTGTGATGAGCCTAAACTGAGCTCGATTGATTAATTTGTTTCTGAGTTATGAATAATTTTTAAACAGTCTAAAGTGTCCAGTTTACCCCACCCTCCCCTATGTCAATAAATTATCAATTAGGGGAGGCTGGGGTTAAATGGACTCTATTGACTTTTTTTAAATGTTAATGAGAACATTTCTTTCCCGTTGTGATGAGCCTAAACTGAGCTCGATTGATAAATTTGTTTCTGAGTTATGAATAATTTTTAAACAGTCTAAAGTGTCCAGTTTACCCCACCCTCCCCTATGTCAATAAATTATCAATTAGGGGAGGCTGGGGTTAAATGGACTCTATTGACTTTTTCTAAATGTTAATGAGAACATTTCTTTCCCGTTGTGATGAGCCTAAACTGAGCTCAATTGATTAATTTGTTTCTGAGTTATGAATAATTTTTAAACAGTCTAAAGTGTCCAGGTTACCCCACCCTCCCCTATGTCAATAAATTATCAATTAGGGGAGGCTGGGGTTAAATGGACTCTATTGACTTTTTTAAATGTTAATGAGAACATTTCTACCCCTTTGTGATGAGCCTAAACTGAGCTCGATTGATTAATTTGTTTCTGAGTTATGAATAATTTTTAAACAGTCTAAAGTGTCCACTTTACCCTGCCCTCCCCTGTAATAATTTCCCTGATAAATCAAACCCAGAGTTGACCCAGAGTTAACTGAATTTAGTGAGTTTATTGCTTCAGGGAATTTATTTTCCCAATTTTTTTTTATTGGTTTCCTGTTATGTTTGAGAGAAAATGTTGAATTCTCAATATATTCGTTCGTAAGATTGACTTCTTATTGGAGGCATTGAAGGCACTGAATTATTTTCAGGGAAAGTTGGAGCTTCTGACAGGTGGCAATCGAGCCACGATGACTCTGGAGGTCTTCGACAAGAATAATCAGTTGGTTTGCAGTCTCGATGATGGAACTCGCCTCCTGGGATCTTATCCCATTGATGATGGCATGAGAGTCCATGTATTTTTATCACTATTTATTTATTCAGTTGCATTATACCGCGAATTACCCTAAATTTTTTTACAATTCCTCATTAATTCTGTCAATTATGGTCCTAGGTTACTGACACATTCATTCGTCCAGAAGAAGACCTCTCGAAGGTGGAGAAATTCGAGATATCCGAGGAGGAATATTCGAAACGTCCAGGTGAACTCTCAATCACAGATCGGCATCGATCATTAATTTAGTGATATTATGAGAAGTTGTACCTTACAATAACTAAGATTTGCTTATTTTCATTGAGATTTGGAGAAATAATATAATAATCGATAATTTAAATTTTTCAATTGACTATTAACTATATAATTAACAATATGGAATTCTCAATTAACTATTGAGTAAATATAAAAAAATCTAAATGTCATAAAAGTATTTTTTGGTTTGCCAAATAATCGTCAATCTTCCGAACCGAATTATTAATTGGTAAAATAGTTCGCAATTTGAATATTTACATTGATGATTAATTTAATAATTAAATAACTGGTGAGTAATATCAATAATTGACTTATTCAAAATTCAACGTTAATCGAAATTTATGATTATGCCGATATTCGCATAAAAAATAAACATAAAAATCAAAATCAAAATTAATAAACTAAAATAAAATTAATAAAATAGAAATAAAAATGTACTTTGCAATTATTCCATGTTCAAGACCTCCAGTTGACACGTTTTTTTATTCAAAGATACTGTCAAGGCATTCCTTGCGAAGAATAAACTGGGAAAGTACAATGAAGAAGAGCTGAAAAAGAGGGAGGAGGAGAAGAAACTTGAGGAGGCTGCGGAGGAGGCACTGGCTCAGACCCTCAATGTGGGTGATAGGTGCGAAGTTTCTGTGCCTTCATTTCCGAAACGACGAGCAACTATTATGTATGTCGGTGAGTAATGGTTTTCAAGATGATAAAATACGAGAAAAACGATTATTTAGAAGAAGAATTGGTATTTCCTAATCATGTGAAACATCGCTTGCAGTCTGAATCCAATAGTTAATAGTTATCAAATCCATTGACAAGTTCCTCGAAGAATGTGAACTGAAAATATAATTAGGCCACTCAAATAAATAGAATGAATAAAAAAATATATAATAAATGAAAAAAAAACGTTGAATAAAGGTTTACATTTTTTTACATTCCCAATTTTCTCAGGTAAAACTGATTTCAAAGAGGGCTGGTGGGTAGGAGTCAAATACGACGAGCCACTGGGAAAAAATGATGGATCGTAAGTGTCAGATCTCCTGTTCATATTTTTATCCCTTGATTATCCTTACACTTATCTCTAATTCAATTTTTTTAACTCAAATAGCGTGAGTGGAAAAAGATACTTCGAGTGCCCTCCCAAGTACGGTGGCTTCGTGAAGCCCGCCGCCGTCAAAGCAGGTGATTTTCCAGAGGAGAATTACGATCTCGACGAGGAGTTATAAATCCCACGAAATGTATTCCCAAATTGTAACACTTTCATTTTTTATATCGAATTGTACTACGAACAACTGTTCATAAATAATATTTAACGCTTCAGGATTTAGTTTTTGTTCTTTATTTCATGCCCTCAATTCTGCATTCCCAAATCTCACAATTGCATCAAGTTAAGGAAAAGGAATGAGTAGGAACCACTGAGTGATGCCAAATTTAGAAAATAAATTAGAAATTAGTTCCAACATCTGGATCAATTAATCAAATTAACTCAAATTAATCTAGGCTTGATCCTCTCGCCTCAAAGAAAATGTGCCCACAGTGTCTTATAAAAATTCCTTATATTCATAAAATAATTACAATTATACATTTCCATCCACACACAAAAGCCCGCAAATAAAATGGCCTCACAAACCCTGGAATCACTGCTGTCCAACTAATATTTTCTTCGTTTGATGATATCTGGTCTCCAGTTGACCGGATGTGTCTCCTCGTTGGCGGTGTCATCCTCCTTATAAACCTTGATCGTCTTGTCAGCCTCAGTAGTGATCATCCTCGTCCCAGACATGTCAAAAGTGATGCTGAAGATGCCCCCCTCGCTGTCCATGGACCCTGGCTGCACCGGAGCCTGCAGTCTCTGGAAATTGTAGCCAGTCCTCCAGTCCCAGAGATGCATCGTGCCATTGTCAGCCCCCGAGACCAGCACCCCATCCTCATTAACAGCGAGACAGTTAACAATGGCGTTATGCCCGGACAAATTCTGGATGTACGTTCCATCGGGACACTTCCACTGTTTGATGTTGTCCGGAGAAGCCGAGGCGAACATGTTCTGAGTTGGATGAAAGCAGACTGATCGAACACTCTTTTTGTGGTTCGTCAGGGTGACCCTGGTCCTTCCAGCAGCCAAATCCCATAATCTAATGGTGCAGTCGTGACTTCCAGTGATTATCTGGGGCTCCGACGCCTGGCATATGACACTGGCGACGGTATTAGTGTGCCCCACCAGAGTGTGAACGTTTGCTTTTGTTCTCATGTCCCAGACTCGGCCTGTGGAGTCTCTGCCTGCTGTCACCAGCACGTCGATTGTTGGGTGAAGGGCCATGGAGTAGACCGCTGATAGGTGACCGTGATAATGACGGATTACTTTGTTGTACTCCAAGTCCCAGCATTTCACCTGTCATGTCACAAAAATAATCTGTAAACTTTGGTAATTCGAGGAATCTGGATGTTTTTAAATATTATGACACTGATTAGAATTTTTTATTCGTTGGATTGTGTATTGATTTTTTATGCATTGAATTATGCGTCAATTTTAATATTTTATTCATCGTGGATGCAGGCCATATTTACTCTTTGGTTTTGCAAGGAACTTACTGTGTGGTTCTTGTTACTTGCCAATTAAAATAGAATAATTTTGGTAAATTGGTATTTTTACGTAATAAAAATTGTAAAGAGGATTGGAGTTAAATTTTTGTTTTGATTGCAAAGAAAAAATGAATTAATGAACCCATAAAAGTCATTCGCGAATTCATTAAAGTTAATAAAATCACGATCTAGTGTGGAAGAAAGATAAAATGAAGAATTTAGAAATTTGCAACTCCGAAGAAAACATTAAATAAAAAAAGCTGCATTGTTAATCTCCTGAAATTGACGCTAAATGATCAATAAAAAAAATCTCACCTGTCTGTCTTCCCCGCAGGAGAATAAATACGGATGCCTGTGAGAGACAGCTAGACCTCTGACACTGCTGATGTGTCCAGTCAACGAGACTTTCAGAATTCCACTGGCGAGATCCCAGATCTTGATGACTCTGTCCCCAGACCCTGTAGCGAACCACTCGTTGCCAGGCTCCACTGCGCAACAGCGAACCCATCCCAGATGTCCACTGATGACTCGGTAGAGCTTCCAGGGGGCATGCCACTTGGGTTTAGCCATCGTTGGAGCCTTCTTGATGGGGAGAGTCACAGTGTTCGACGAGGGATTGGCCGGGACGAGGGCTGAGGCGACTGGGGTGGACGGTGGGGTGTAAGGTACGACAGAGGTGCTCTCAGAGGCCGTGAAGGACTCGTCACCAGGGGGCGGAGGGTCTGCGGGGTCATTTTCAGAGGGTCTGGGCTTCGTCTGAACGTTCTGCTTGACTCGCTCCATTATCGGGCCATAGGAGTCTCGAGCTTTTATTGTCTTCTTCTGATTTTCAACGGACTCGTCGAGAGGGGGGAGGGATCCGTAATCGTGGAGGAATAGGTCGTGGGAACGTTTCAACGAGCGGAAGACCAAAGTGTGGACCGAGAGCTTTTGAACGTCCTGGAAATTAGTCATTGCATTTTGCAGTGATTTTTTTAATGCATTGAATTATGCATAAATGTGGATGGAGTGGATGCACTCCATATTTATTGGCAATTTCTTGGTTTTGCAAGGAACTTATTCTCTGGTTCTTGTTGCTTGTGGAGACATTGGCAATTAAAATAGGAAAATTTTGGGAAATTAGTGGTTTTACGTAATCAAAATTCTAAAGAGAATTTGAGTTAAATTTTTGTTTTGGTTAATTCCAAAAAATGAGAGCTTTTGAACGTCCTGGAAATTCAGTGGAATTCATTAGATTTTGGGGGTTTGGAAAATTTCATAGAAAAACCTAGGGGATCGATTGAAATTTTTATTGGATTTCTATTGAACTTCTACTCAAAATTCCTCTAGTATTCGGCTGATTTTATTAAAGAATTCTGCAGCTTTAATTTTTTACTACGATTTTCTAAAATAGAAAATGCTCCGGAAACATTTCTTCACAGAATTTATTCTCTATTTTCAATAGGAACTCTTCCATATGAGTTTTTTATTTGTTTGTACATTTGCTCTCATTTTTCTTTACAAAAAATCTGACAAAAAACCTTGGAGATTTTTCGCCAAAGAAGTTCCGCAGAAAAGATCTCAATAGAATAAGTTGTTTGGAAAAATCAAATCAAATAATTAATTTCATTACAATATTTAATATCGCATGCACAATAATAATTACGTTTACTTACCATTTTCGAGTGATTATCGACGTGTAATTATCCTTAAATCAACTTCCACTCTTCATCAACCAAAAAATAACGTTTTGAGAGGTTATGAGTGTCAACAAACACCCACTCGACTACACTCGACATGTTCAGCCACTAGGGATGCCAAAGATCGGGTCGTAAGTCACTAGAAAACGCGAGTTTCCAGTGAATTTCGAGTTGTCAAGCCCTGACGTCTGAACACCGTCGAATAAACGCAAGCCGCAAATTTTCTCAGAAGTGCCTCGGAGTCTGCAATTCACGAAATCATGGCCCCTGTAGATAGCTCACCAACAGCAAATATGAACGGTTTTGAGTTGATATCCTCGATAAAATCAAACGATACAATTCCGGTGCACAAATACAAGTCCACAAGAACAGGCATAACCGTTTTCATTGCTGAAGTTGATGGCCCAGTCGTCGGAGGGTACTTCTGCATCGGTAAATGAAGCATCTCTAACCTGCATGTGTCAATATTTGTGCAATCCACCAGCTCATAATTAAAACGATTAATTCAGGAGCGAAGTGATAAAACGGTACACGTCAATTTTGGGGATTGACCAGTTTTCAATGAATATCTCGGAATCTAAGGGAGATGGCAAAATTTTTGTTATAGCCTTTTTTGTAGAGCTGATTGAGAGCTACAACAAATGTAATTACTCAAATTTTGCTATCTCCCTTAGATTCGGAGATATTCATCAAAAACTCAACTGGGAGATGAGTCGACTTAACTCGTTTTACCACTTCGCTACTGAAATGATGACACTGATTAGAATTTTTTATTCATTGTATTATGCATTGATTTTTTTGTGCATTGAATTGCAGAAACATGTTATCAATTTTTCTAACGAACGAAATTAGCCGCGCAGGAGTTGAATTTCAAAAAACCAATTCGTAACTGTTATCGCACAATTTTTTTCAAAAATTAAAAAAAAACCCTCTGCAGCTCAAAAATTGGGGGCTCTAGACTATTTTCAACACTTCAAGCGTCTGCGAGACAAACGACCAATAAAAAATTAATTTTTTTGCACTAATTATTCGTTTTTAGACGCATAAAATCTTAAATGTATGAGAAATCCCACTTGAACAGCAATAAAAATTGATAAGAAAAAATAATAATTTCCCTAGCAACTGAAGCCTTCGACGATGACGGTCTCCCGCACACCCTTGAGCACTTGGTGTTCATGGGCAGCGAGGATTACCCCTACAAAGGAGTCCTGGACCTCCTGGGGAACCGTTGCCTGGCCTCTGGCACCAACGCCTGGACAGACACCGACCACACGAACTACACAATGACAACAGTAGGCAGCGAGGGATTCCTCACCCTCATGCCGATCTACCTGGATCACATCCTCTTCCCGACCCTCACAGACACCGCCTTCCTCACCGAGGTCCACCACGTCAACTCCGAGGGTGAGGACGGTGGGGTCGTCTACTGCGAGATGCAGAGCAAGGAGAACACTGGCGAGAGGCTCTCAGCAGTGGAGCTCACCAGGTCAATCTACCCGGGTAAATGCGGCTACAAATCAGTGACTGGAGGAGTAATGAAGAACCTGCAGGAGAGCACGAGCAACGAGAAAGTGAGAGCCTTCCACAAGGAGTACTACAGGCCTGAGAACCTCACGATAATAATAACAGGTAGGGATTTTAGCCCAATATTTTTACTGGTCGTTTATCATTTATCATTTTCCATTCATTTCACTCTATTTTTTTTCCTTTTTCGTCAGAAAAAAAAGTGAAGGAATTTCGCGTCAGAAAAATGACAAAAGAAAATCTTGACGATCATTTTAGATCTAGATGGAGTGCGAAAAATATCGTTCATCCTATTACCGCGTTACCCCAGAGCTCTCAAAATTTTAGTAAGAGATGGCCTGCTTTAGGCACCACTTTTGAGAGAATTTTTTAACTAGTTCTTTAAATATTTTTTAAATGAGATTTACATCATTTATCCAATGAAAAGTTTGACACGAGTGTTTTTCTATAGTTGATGAACTTCACAGATTCTATAATAATAATAAATAAGCAAAGTGCTGTGAAACTATTCTGATTAATAGTTAATATTTACTAAATTTTCGATTTCGAAATTTTGTAACTAGTTCCTTAAATGAGAAGATTTACATAATTTATCCAACGAAAAATTTGATACGATTGTTTTCCTGTAATTGATGAACTTCACAGATTCTATAATAATAATAAATAAGCAAAGTGCTGTGAAACTTTTCTGATTAATAGTTAATATTTACTAAATTTTCGATTTCGAAATTTTTTAACTAGTTCCGTAAATGAGAAGATTTACATAATTTATCCAACGAAAAATTTGATACGATTGTTTTCCTGTAATTGATGAACTTCACAGATTCTATAATAATAATAAATAAGCAAAGTGCTGTGAAACTTTTCTGATTAATAGTTAATATTTACTAAATTTCCGATTTCGAAATTTTGTAACTAGTTCCTTAAATGAGAAGATTTACATAATTTATCCAACGAAAAATTTGATACGATTGTTTTCCTGTAATTGATGAACTTCACAGATTCTATAATAATAATAAATAAGCAAAGTGCTGTGAAACTATTCTGATTAATAGTTAATATTAACTAAATTTTCGATTTTCTTCCGGGGGTTATTCACAATTTTATTTAAATTTCTAAAAAAATTCACGAGGAAAATGAAAAAAAAAAATGACAACAGTCATTTGCATCCCTAATAACAGGACAGGTGCACCACGCCGAGGTGTTCAAAGCCCTGCGTCCCCTGGAGGACAAGATCATCTCGAAAGGGAGTCGAGGGCCCTTCCAGCGGCCCTGGCAGAGTCCAGTCCCGGCATTCCCAGAGGACACAGAGCAGGAGATCCTCTACCCCTGTGACGACGAAGACAATGGGCTGGTGTCAGCCGGCTGGAGGGGTCCCTCTGGAGTCAGCGAGCTCTACGATTTAACAGGCTGTTCCCTCCTCCTGAAGTACCTCACCGACAACTCCGTGAGTCCTCTCCAAAAGGAATTCGTGGAGATCGACGACCCCTACGCCTGCAACGTGGACTTCTACCTGATCGAGAAGTCGGCGTCGATGCTGTACCTGATGTTCAGTGGAGTTCCCCTCGAGAAGATTCCCCTGGTGAAGAATCACCTGAAGAAAGTATTAACGGACGTCTGTGGTGATAATGGAATTGACATGAAGCGAATGGCAACTGTCATCCACAGACACCAGCTGGAGACCCTGAGCAACCTCGAGAACATGCCCCACGACGCCATAGCCTTCATGCTGATTGGCGATGCCCTTTACGGACGTGACAACAAGGACCTTGAGCACAGGCTGAACGCCATCGATACCCTGAAGAAGCTGGCAGTTGAGCCGGAGTCCTACTGGATAAATCTCCTCAAGAAGTACCTCATCGATGCACCAATGGCTGTGGTGAACGCCCGACCCAGTATCGAGAAGCAGAAGGAAATTGCTGACGGTGAACAGAAACGATTCGCAGAGAGGAGGCAAACTCTGGGGGAAGAGGGACTGAAATTAAAGGAGAAGGAGATCCAGGAGGCAGTGGCCAAGAACGAGGCGCCCATCCCTGACGAGGTGCTCACGTGTGTTCCAGTCCCAGGGACTGACTCCATCAATTTTCACAATGTCAGGAGCTTCGTTTGCGATGGCACCGAGCAGCATTCGCGATTCGATCTCAAGAAGATTCCACTCTACAGCTGTTTGGATCACGTCAATACTAATTTCGTTTATCTTTTTGTTGTGATGAATACGTCGGGACTGGCCAGGGAGGCCAGGAGGTATCTCCCTCTGATTCTTGAGGCCATTGGGGAGTGCCCCATCGAGAGGAATGGGACGCTGATACCCTACGAGGACGTTGTTGCTGAAATTGAAGCTGATACAATCGCTGTGGACTCGAGAATGGGCTTCGAGGGAGTCTCCAAGTTCGCTTGTGGGGCTTACAGTCACAGCGTCAATCTCATGCTGCAAATCGAGATGTCCAAGTATGGAAAGGGGATTCAGTGGATCAGGGAGCTCCTCTACGACACCAAGTTCAATCCCGAGAGGCTCAAGATCATTGCATCTAGGATGCTCAATGAGATTACAATCTGCAAGAAGAAGGGGCACAAGATCTGTGGGAATCTCATGAGGGGGCTCATGTTCAGTAAGGAGAGCAATCACTTTAATGCGAGCCTCATGAGGCAACAGATGTTCCTCACGAAAATTGTGGAGAGACTGGGGGCCGGTCAGGGGCAGGAGATTGTTAAGGAGATCGAGGAGATTGTCAAGAGCTTGACGGATCCGGGGAATATTCTCGTTTATATTGTGACCAATGTGGATAAATTGAGCAATCATGTTAAGGATCTTTATAGTCCGTGGGGTGTGCTGAAGGTGGGGGACGTCGAGAAGAAGAAGTGAGTGAGACTTTCTAGCTTTAAAAACTAGATTTTTTTTAATTTCGTGAATTTCTTTTGATTTTTTCATTTTGCGACAGAGTTTTGGAATTTAGCTATGGATTTTCGACTGGGGATTATGTTTCTAATGCTTATTGGGTTTAATTTAGACTGGAAGTCCTGCCAGACTGGAAGCTCGTCAATTCCAAGGAGGAAATAAAACTCCAGGGATGTGTTTTGGGACTGGGATGTGTGGATTCAGCATTTTTATCCCAAACTTGCTCGTGTATTAATGACTTCGAAGATCCGGATTTGGCACCACTGCTCGTTTGTCTACAGTATCTCACGCAATTGGAGGTGAGACACGTGAAAACATATGTTATTATCAATTGAGAATAATTAAACATAGTAATTGGAAATTTTGAATTAACAATTGTGGTGGTATTAAAAAAAAAAGTTATAGAAGAGAAAAAAGTGAAGAGATTATATCATTTTTTAATGAAGAGAAAAGAGTCAACTCCCTCTACTACTCAATAATTACGAACAAAAATTAATGAGTAAAAAAAAATCCGCCAACTCATTTGCAGAAAATTTCCAACACAAGTAAAAAGAAAATCTTCGAAATTGATCTCTTGATTGTTGGCAATCGCATGTGCCCACTGTTTTGATTTTCATGCCTTGATTGTTCCCAGGGTCCAATGTGGAAGCAAGTTCGTGGTCAAGGCCTCGCTTATGGCTGCAATATCTACGTTCGACCTAATGAGGGACTCATGTACTTAACTTTCCATGCATCTGCCAATATCGTTGGAGCTTATAAGGAGACAAAAGCTATTGTCGTGAGTAATCGTCAAATTTTTTGACATTCGTTATTCTCTTCAATGATTGAGAATGACTTGATATGGAAAATGAAAAATTGCTTTCATGAAAATCTTTAAATGAATTAAAAAATTCTTATTCAACTACAGGACAGCCACATTTCAAACGACTCCTGGGAGAGAACTCTCTACGACAGTGCAAAGTCCTCTCTCATATTCGAAATCGTCGAGCGAGAGAAGAGCGTGGGTGACACAGTATCCCAGTCCCTCCTCTCATACTTCAAGAATGTTTCTCACGATTACAATCGCCAAATGGTCAAGAAGATCTACACCGTTGGCTTCAAAGACCTGAGTCGAATGGCGAAAAAGTACATTAAACCACTATTCGATCCAGAACAATGCAAGACTGCCGTTGTGTGTCATCCATCCAAGGTCACCGAAGTTTCTGATGCCTTCAAAAGGTAAAAATCAAATCAATTGTGAAATAGTATCCATTTTACTTGAAGATGATTTTTTGGGGCATATCTTTGAATTTCAAAGAAACACTGATTTTGATTTTTTATGAAAAAGAAAAAATGGAAAAAATTAAAATCTATTGCCTTTTTTTCTTTAAAAAAAATATCTGTTAGAAAATTTTAAGAAAATTCTAATAGAATTCTAATAAAAAATGCAATAATAGGATTTTAATAGCAACCTTGAATGAATGGTGATTTTTTCAAAATGAAAAATGTTAATGTTGACATAATATTTTACAGTTACAATCAGAATCTAGAAGTGTACACATCCCTGGAGAACAGTTACCTCAACACCTGGTGAATGCACCCAATCTCCTTCAGAAAATCTGTTTAAAAATGTCGGGTAATGCATCGCTAAAATGTACAAAACCAAACGTATTGCGTAAGTACGTCACGATTATGATTTCAAAATCAGCTTTGATGTACACACGTGCCATTCATGAAGAAAATAATTGAGGATGCAGGGAATTTTCACTCTTGACAAATTGAATGGAATTGCACTGGCCTGTAGAGCACAGAATGCTGAATATTTTTGAAGGAGTTAATTATTTATACACTGAGCATTTACACTTTAGCATTTTACAGAAATTGAACGAGTTCTCGATATCAAATTCATCTGGCGCAAATCCAATTTCGTCAGGATGAATTCCTATTTGGATTAATTTTGATATATTTTAATAGATAATTGATATTGAATACTAATTGTCAATGAAATAAACAAAATTGAAATTATGAGCTGTTGCATTTCATTTCTGGATGATAATGAGATGAATAAACTTTTACGACTCGCTTGTTCAGAAAAAATAGCCACGAAATGTTAAACTTTCATTTACATGTGAGTTTAACGTTGGGATATTTACATAGATGTGAGAAAAGACATTCTAAAATTTGTGAAAAAAATTGCAGACAAATTTCTGCTGAATAAATTTAGCGAAGAAGTTGCGAATTTAATTTAAGAGTATTTCGATTGCAGAAAAATAAATTCCAATATTTAACAAATATAGTTATTAAACGTGAAATCCATCGCTCGATATCCATCAATTGGAAAGAGAAGGGAAGAGGAAGGAGTCGACACCGTAGCGATATTCATTCTATTATGATCGAATGAAAATTGTGACATTCGTCGCGAAAGCACTCCAAAGTCCGCTTCACCACCGAACCCTTTGGACTTTTTCGCAACTCAAACGGCCAACACGACTGTTCAGCGTTCGTGAAATCCACTTGCCACAAATTCTACATTCGCCATCGTCGCAACAGGGTTCGTTAAACTCGAGTAGAAGTAGTTGGCCCTGATGTTCCACAGCCGTGCAACACGGTTTGTCATCACTCCGGCTCTTTCGCCCAATGTTTCGCTGGTTTTCTAGGTGAAAACAACGTTGAAGATGAGCATTTTTGAATTTTCCAGCGTCATTTGCCTGACACTGGGTCACAATTATCATACGAAATAATGAGACAATTGATTTACTCACAAATTTATGCTGTCAGTCATCAACTTTTGACCCTCATTGACTAGAGCGAGCGGTGAGACTCGTGGGAAATAACGAATTCCATTCAAAGTGAATTCACGTAGGAAAAAGAGCAATCGAATTGACGCACAAATTCTATTATTTAAAAAAAATGTAGAAACAGAATTTCCACAGTATTTCATCAACATTAAAGATTAATCAAGGTAAAGAAAAAAGTCAAGAGAAATTTGGAGTTCGGGAAACGATAAAAAATGTTTTTCAACAATTTTCCCGAAATTAATTTCTCCAAATTACGAAGTGAGAGAAAAAAATGAAAGGAGAGTAACAGAGACAGACTGAGGAAACACCAACGGGAGCACTCAAAAGCCGTGGAAGATCAGGCGTGATTAAAAAAAATGAGGAATGCAAAACGAAGGCCAAAAATGTTGAAATTTCAAAGACAATTTAAAACTGACAAATTAATTTTGCTTTCAAAACCCTCGAAAAAGGAGTAAAAAGCCGACTCGCTCGTTCTTCATTTCACGTTCAAGTGATGTACGTGCTGAGCATGAAGCACTCCCCAATGAGTGAATAAGCATGTCCGTTAAATGGAAATAGCAATGTACATCGAGTTACTGGAGGCTCAAACGCCTCCGAAGACAGGATGCAAATGCCATCCGTCGATTGTTGAAACCGTTAGACTGCTTCGACGAATGAGTGAATGAGTAACTGTCCCATTTTCTCATTAACAAAAACCACCTGCACAATTAAATCAGTCACGTGGGAGTTGAATCGAGCGAAATTTAGCGAAGATTGCGTGGATAAAAATAATCCCGTTGGATAATTAATAAGAAGGATCTGACGTGCTGTAGAAAATAGCTGGGGGGACTAGAATTTCTAATCCGTTTTCTGAATTACTGTGCAAATGTGCATCACATATTGCTCCAGTTCCTGGCTTTATTGTTTTAATGATCCGTCCGGGGGAGACGGATACGTCGTATTGTTTTTTTTGCATTTAAGGATATCCAAGTATTTGGATATTTTTTCTTCAGTGAAATTTTTGGAAATTTTTTCTAAAAAAATAATACAAAATAAAATTATTTCGCAATAATAAAAATAAAATTATATAATAAAATATGAACACAATAATAAAATGATAAAATTATTTTGCAATAATTTTATTATTTAAACTTTGCAAGTAAAAATCTGAAAAAAGACAAAGTTTACTCTTGGAGGAAGAAATAATGAAATAATTACGATCTCCGAAAGTTTAAACAATTTCAATTATGTATTTATAAATAATGAATGTTTAAAAAAAAATTCTGTACAAAATGTAATTTCAAGGACGCTCAATATTCATAATTTTTTTCAACTTTTTCTCACAGAATTGAATTGACAAATTTGATGATTCAAAATGGTTGAATTTATAGTTTGGTCTACACCAAACTGTAAAAATTACTTGGATATCCTTAAAACCTCTAATGAAAATGAAAAGAAAAAAAAAAAGTTTTTTCGTAATTCATTACGTAATAACAGTTTTTATTAAAAACTCCTCCGTGAGAAGAAGAACAAGGACGCATCGAGTATTCCAAACTTCGTGATAATTGGACAGTCTGGAGTTTATAGGCAAGGATATTTCGAGAAAACCTGTTGGACGACTTCGTCATTCGGGCGATCATGAAGCGATCAATGAAACAGTGGTCAAAATCTTTTGTTTCCATGTGACTTGAGTATTTTTCGATCGTCAGTGGAGTGAATTTATTCACTCCAAAGGTCACACCTGGGTCATCTATTGTTATCCGTCTTCAGAGGTAAAAGCGTATTCGTTGCACAATCAGATGCCTGAAGGATATCGTCGATATGTTGTAAGGGTAATGGATATGTTGCAGCCATCCATTACAATTCAATATTTATGCAAAAAATATTTTTCACCTTTCACCGTCTCATAGTTTACACTATCTTGTTCTGTCATGGGAAATCAATTCTCGAATCAGGAACATCAATAATTCTGATCGATGATGAGATAGAGAAAATCGTTGAGACGGAAATATTCAAAGTTTTTCATTCAAGAATCATTCAATTCATTGATGATAGCATCTGGAGATTTCTTTAAATAAATCTGTGGACACGATATTTGCAGTCATAAGAGGAAACACGTTGCGCGAAGAATAAAGTGAAAATATGAGCTAGGGAGCATGCAATAAAATTCATCCGACACTTGAAAAAAAATTGAATTAAACAGCTGTAATTTTCGAAGCGAATGAAAAATTCATCGCGAATAAACGGTAAATTATCGTGTCTTTCGTAAATTCTGTCGATATTCTCGCATCTCTTTCATAGAGTGGAGGGGACGAAGTCAAGCTCGGACAGTAAATTTTGTAGGAAGTGGAAAGACATGAAGTGTTGATCATAAAATTATTTAATACTTTGCAGACAGAATTGTGAAGCGTATTAATTTTTCAGGAATTTTCAGCAGAGTTCTAGTAAGAAATGTCAAAATTATCTACAAATTCATGAAGATGCTATTAATTTTATGTGCATCAATTATTTCTTCTGAATATAACAATATGTTTACATTATTTAGTCGAAATTAGTCTCCGGCAGGGAGATTTTATAGAATAATAAATCCAAATTCGAATGGTTTCATCTCACTTCAATATTTATGAAAAGTTGGCAAAATCCAGGACTATTTTTTCTCCAGTGAAATCCTATTTTACTTCTATACTCTACCATTTGACCCTAAATTTCCGGGCATTGTACAATGATTTTATTATTTAAACTTTGCAGGTCTGAATTTCAATTTAATTGCTGAACCGTTAGAAGACATTTTAAAAATATTTAAAAAAATAAGAAAGTGGAGGAGGACCGTTGAAATAATTTAAAAAGCGCAGTTTTTGAAAATTACGAGCATTTTCTATAAATAATTTATAAACAATCAAGTTTCCACCATAAAAACCATTTGTTCGGAATTGTAACAAATTTATTCACGTTCAAACTTTACCAGAAAACGATTTCCTGCCTGAAAAAATAAGAATCTACAGTGCGGTCACACCAAACTGCAAGAGATACCTGGATATCCTTAAACACTCCTGGACAATAATTTTCACTTCACGTACGCGATAAGGAAAGTAAGGATACATTGACAAGTGTACGAGATGTATGTGAAAAGAAGTCGAGTTCAACCCGGTGGAGGGAGGAACCCGGCATGGCGGAGTAGGTGAGCTGAATGGTTTAACTCAGCGGTGCTACTACTCCCGGAGTGTTTTAGTCTCGTGTCGAGACCCTTCTCCGTCAGTATTCACCCGCGATATTCACATCTCCTGGATTTTTTCGACCTGCGCGCGGTGACAATTCCCCAAAAATCCCATCTCCACTATAAAAACTGATCCTCAAATGTAAATTCAATTTATTGTGACTAGAACATAATTTATTTCTCTCGATTGTAATGATAAAGCATCAACAACTGTGAAATAAACCAAAAATATAACTCTGTGAATTTTATTGTGGATTTTATTGCTGAACATTTCTCGATTTTTGAGACGAATAAAAATTGATCGATGGATGCAGCGAAATATTTCTTGTGCTGAATTATTGAATGTGTGTTGAATTGTTCAGTGTCGATGTGTGGATTATTACGAGAGAACTGCGATTAAAAATGTCAGACACAATTTCAAAAGAACCGCTTAATAACACCAGCAATGGCAACAATGGAACAGCCAAAGTGATATCAACGAAGGATCGGGTGAGTCCCTCTCAACGCTTTCTGCATAGCTTCTTCGAGGTGTAATGAGCACTGCGCAATGTACAGGAGGTCATGCTCTCTCTGTAATGTTCTTGTGACAGGGGGCAACAAGAAGAGTTGCACTGGTTTTTTCTTTTCAGTTTTCATAACACGATGGAATGGGATGAAATGGGATAAGTCGAGTTTTTCGGAATAAAATAGATTCTTGGCGACAGTAGAAAGATGATTTTTATGCTGGAAAAATTATTGTTTATGGAATACAAGTGGGAGGAGTCGTAATTTTGAGAAATTCATTGAATGAATGAAATGGGGAATAACATTGGAAGCTCTGAGGTTTGACGAATGATGAAAAACATTTCCAGGACATACTCAAGTGGAATTGTATTGAATTATTTTTTCGTCTTTGTGACAGGGGGCAACAAGAAGAGTTGCACTGATTTTTTTTGTTGTAAATTTTTATAACACGATAAAAAATAATGAAATGGGATAAGATGAGTTTTTTGGAATAAAATATATTCTTGATGACATTCTAAACATATGTTTCTTTTACAACTTCTAAAAGATGATTTTTGTGGCGGAAAAATTATTGTTTGTAGAATATTCATAAAAAAAGTCATTTTGAGAAATTTTAATTTAAAAATTGTAATGTTGTAATGTTGTTTAATAGTTAAAAACGGGAGATTAAAGTGAACTGCATCGAATTGTTCTTTCATTTTTGCAATTATATTTCTAAGAGTTTTTACTGTCTAAAAAAAAACAGAAAGACAGGCAAATTTGTAACTTCAAAGCGTGTAATTATTATTGCTCTATGCCGCTGACAATATTTTATCACCTCCAGATTAAACCCCCAGCAATCACCAGTGAGTGCAGAATTTAATGGTGAAAGCGCACTGTAGTATCCGTTTGTTCTCCTGCATTTTGAGCACCCGCGTGCAACAAGGAAAAGTATCATTTGCATTAGTTGGTTAGTAGGTCGAAATTATTAGCTTCTCTCCTGTCCCCATTGCAGCTTTATTATCATTCATTTTCCGGTTATTATGCCGGCGATCGAGCAACAACTATTCAATGTTGAATATGTTTTTTTCATTAATTTCCCAACGCGGTGTGTGGAATGCCGGGAAAAAAAGAGGTGAGCGCAAGGTCTGGTGTTCCCCGGAGTGCTTTGATGGCGGAAATTGGGACCATTTTGGGGAAGGTTACATTGCAGTTACCGAATTTTGTATTGAGTGAAATTATGAAGTATAAAAATGTGAAAGAAAAAACTAGATAAATATTTTTTTATTTGAGAAAAATTATTACAAAATTAGGAAGTTGCGGACAATTATCGAAACGTTTGCAATATGACTTTACAATGCAGACATGACCAATTGCCTACAATTTAATCATTGTTCATCATTCATAGAAATAAAAAAAACATTCAAAACTAAAATTTCACACTAAATTTTGCGAACTCCGGACGTTGTGGAATTATTGTCTCGTTCCAATTTTTTTTATAATTCTGAACTGAATGTTCCATTTTTTGAAAACCGTTAGAAAACATCTTCAAGTCTTTAGAAAGCAGTTCAAAAACCGGAAAGGAGTTTTTAGAAGATTTGGGGAATAATTTCAAAGTCGCTATTGCAATGAAATAATTTACATTCGGGATATTCTCAGAAATCGATTACTCATTTATTGATGAGACATAAATGTTGAAAAGGAACAGAATTTTTGAAGAATGTCAAGTCTGTAATTGTGGCAATACGAAAGTATCGACGACATTTGAATCGCCTAATTCAAATGAATGATGAATGAGGGCCATCAGGAGAGAATGTCAAGGGACCTGCAAGTCTTTGATTATTTTTTCATCAAACAAAATGTTTTGGAGTTAAATGTACCTTCAACAAAAATAAAAAATGACGTAATTTTAAGAATGTTATTTTTTTAGAGAAGTGAACGCTCAAAAATTACTCCACAACAGATTCCCCGAGGTTCATTACTATGGAGGCTAACTATCGGTCTAGAGTCGTCCAGTAATCATCGTATTTGTTGAGAAATTTCGCTGTATAATTCAAGGAGAATAAAATAGAAGCCCCGATTTAAATTTGGTTGACACAAGCCAATGCTCAAAATTTCCACACAAAATCTTCACATAAATTATATATGACATTGGAAGCAGCTCAAGTATGAAACTATTTTGATGGATGAGGACTATTAGAGGAGAATGTCAAGGTACATTCCAATCTTTGATAATTTTGTCATCAAATAAAATGTTTCGGAGGTAGAAGTATCATTAACTAAAATAAAAAATTATGAACTGATGAATGATGAGCAACAGTGAATTTAAAAAATGTTATTATTTTTTTGAAAGAGTGACTGATCGAAAAGTACTCCCGACAGCTCAATTTTATGGAATTTCTCGCGTTAAAAATCGCTCATTTTTATTGAGAAATTTCACTCCATGATTAGAATACGAGAATAAACTATAAACCTCAATTAAAAAAATTTGATTGACCCAAGCAAAAGTCCAAAATCTTCACCCAAAATGTCCCCATAAATTCTCGTCGCAACCACGTTTCTTCCACAAAATTAATTCTCTTTACTATTTAAATTCAAAATCCCAGTAGCTTCATGCGCCTCCCACCCATTCCCCCAGCGTGACACTCGCTAAATCGTATTGATTTTCCATGTAACAGACCCCGCGCTAGTTCGCAGAACCGCGTGGCCCTTGACACATCCCTCCATCCTCCCAAAGACTCCAATTGTCCCCAATAACCCGTGATAACGAAGAATATGTTACTCTCACAGTATGCGCTGTCGAAAGCCTCGAGACGACTATTCGATTCGACGAGAAGAGTCCAACGATTCAGAGCGAAATAAGAGTGAAGACTATTAATGTGATTTACCCGGGATAAATAGACTCGGGTGTTTACCCGACTGACAATCACGATCAGACTCAAAAGAATAACACAGAAATGTGTCACCGCTGGGCTCGACTTGACCTGTCACGGTATTCTTCATCGAGTGAGTAGTGGCCCGATGTTTTCCTCGCGTTATCGATAATATTAGTAATCCCGCCGAGTCGATAGTTTCCGGTTCAACAATTCCCGGGTGAAAGAATGAAATTGCATCTGTCAACAATTCCACGGGTACCAGTTCCCCTCATTTTACAAACGCAATTGTCTCGAATATTCTCGGACGTTAAATGTGTGACTAAATTAAAATTAATTCACTGGGAGGACCTTGAGGCTAGCTGGCGGCTAGCTTGTTGCCCTAGGTATTTCATAACTCTTCTCCGCGGACATGTGCGCGTACCCCGACGTTCACTTTCTCTTTGAACCGGCTTGCAACTTCTCATTGCTGTACGATCGCCCGTGTCAATGCACCTCTCGTTCCTCCCATGATGTTACTTTATGCATGAACGAAAAAATGAGGGAGATAAAAGACCCCTAGCTTTCGAAAAACCTTAAGCGGCGCGCTCGAGGCCTTCCGGGATTGCGGGAGTGTGACTGTCGGAAGCTCTCGAATCACAATTTGTCGACAAAAAATTAATGAGAGCTCACTTATCGGTGGTATGATTACTTGATTGGGTATTGGAATTATTCAATCCATTTTTCGCATTGCTTTTCTATATTTTTTAACGATATCCAAGTACTTTGGCTATTTTTTCTCCGGTGAAATGATTTTCTACTTTTGTAATCGAACAGCAGAGCTTTCACTTGAGCCCCGGTTGACCCCAAGTTTCCGGAAATTTTACAATATTATTATTTAAATATTGCAGGTCAGAATTTGAATCTCGATATTGAACCGGTAAAAAACATTTTAAAAATCGGGAAAAAAATCAGCGAGTTTACTTTTGGAGGAAGAGTAATTAAATAATTTATAAACAATGAAAGTTTAAAAAAATAATATTTCTGTGCAGAATGTAATTTTAATGACGCTGAATATTGGTTGATTGGAACATTCAATTGGTTGAATTAGAGATTAATCTGAAACTTTTAAATAATATTTAATTCGTCAAAACCTCCTCCAGAAATTATTGGAGCTATCTCTTGCCTCTCTCAATTCTCTTATAAATTTCTTTTTAGTTCATATTATTCTCGAAATAGCTCTGAAATTATTAGGTATAAAGGAAAATGTCATAAACCGTTTTTCGTAGAGAATTTAATATTCTATAAAAAATGTTTTTTAACATTTTTCTCTAAACCTAGTAATTTTGGAGCCACAATTTGAGGAAAATTTTTGAAATTACCTAGTAATTTTTACGACTTCGTTGCAACTGTAATTTGTAACAAGCTGTGTCTTTGTACACTGGTAGATCAAGTGGCACGATTTAGTTGTTGTTAACGACACTTCTTAACTACTAACGAATAGCGGTACAGTTAAAGAGCCTCGTTAACAACATCTAAATCCTTCTATCAGTGGGTCATTTCCAACAGTTTATTCCCGATCAAAGTCTCTTTCGGACAATTAATTAATACTCCTGGACTCTGGACTCCCGCGTCAATGAGAAAGACACGCGAGAGGAGTTACCTTCGCGAATATCGGTGATCTGTGGTTTCTGCTGCGAACCATGGAATTATGCAGATGATGATTCATATTTTTTTGCCCCATAAAAATGAAAAAAAAAAAATCGCACGAGACGTAAATCATTAATTCTTCGTGAAAATAAAAACAATAAACAGGAGGTGATGGCTGAAGTCATCAAACTAGGACTGTTTTTATATTTTTCCGAGAGGAAATGTTAGAATCCTAGAGCAGGATAAATTATTAAATCCTCAGCTTAAGGGTGGGTTTTTCAAGAGGAAATGTGAATGGGTATTAACTATCGGATGGCTAAAATTTTGGGAATGACTGTTCAATAATTATGGAAATTCCGCCATGTCTTCTGCATTCCAAGAATATTCATTAAAAAGTGACGATCATCAATTAAAATCGACTCATCCTGTTCTACCACTTAATTACAAGGCTTATGAGGTATCCTTGCGAGAGTCACGTGTATTTTGACCTTGGGATTTAACCGGTCGAGACCACATGGCCCAGGATTGTTGACCCGCTTACGTTGAGTAGAAATGGAACCAACTAATCAGCCTCGAGAAAAGCGTTTTGCGTCTGTCGAATGCGCAAATTTCAATTTTATTGAAAATGGTTAAAGTCATTGGACCAGGAATTTTGTTATAATTTTCTAACAACAGAACTTTAGATTCCATGAGTTAATTCAATAGAAAAAAAATCTCATAGAACGCGAAGATGTCTGACGATTGCGATTTGGAGCATATGATCTGCAATAGTTGAGCCACTCACGCAAAGTAGAAATAGTACCAACTGATCAGCCTCGAACACAATATTTTCATCCATCGAATGCAAAAATTTAGATTTCAGTGGGAATGATTAAAGTCATTGGACTAGGAATTCCGTTATTATTCCCTAAGAACCGAACTTCAAATTCCAAGTCAGGATAAGTTAATTCAACAGAAAAAATCTCCTAGGATGCAAAAATTTTTGGACATGGGATAAAAGATAGTGAAGATTTCCCTTACATTCCAAAAACTGAAGGTTATGAATTAAAATCCAGTGATGAGGTACTCCCCTAGGATTACGAGGCATCCTGACCTTGCGATTGGAGCATATGATCTGCAATAGTTGACCCTCTCACGCAAAGTAGAAATAGTACCAACTGATCAGCCTCGAACAAAATATTTTCATCCATCGAATGCAAAAATTTAGATTTCAGTGGGAATGATTAAAGTCATTGGACTAGGAATTCCGTTATTATTCCCTAAGAACCGAACTTCAAATTCCAAATCAGGATAAGTAGAAATAGTACCAACTGATCAGCCTCGAGCATTTCGTCTCCATCGAATGCAAAAATTTAGATACAAGTCGAAATGATTAGTCATCGAACTTCAAAAATCCCCTACAACGCAGAGATTTCTGACCATACGATCACTAGAATAACACAGAATAAAAAAACTGTGAAAATTTCCGTTGCATTCCAAAAACTGCAGATGATTAAATAGAATCCACTAATTATCCCAGGTATCCCAGTAGAATTTGTGATGCACCTTGACCTTGCCCTTTAGACCGCATGATCTACAACCGTTGCCCCCCTCACGCAAAGTAGAAATAGCCCCAACTGATCAGCCTCGGCCAAATTATTCCCTATCCTTCGATAAAATTTTTTAATACAAAAAGCCCCCAAATAATGAACTTCCCTGGACAAAAAATTTGATTTTTACCGCCTCATCGCCACAAATATTCCAGGACGTTGAGAGGGGCGATCTCGCAACAAGAGGGGGAAACAGTACCCCAACGTCAGAGCCCCGATCTGCTGCGCTACCTAGTGCCACGAGTTGTTCACGTACCGGTTCGAGTGACCGTTGGCGGGCAGTCGCTCGTACGCTACGACGTATAACACTGGTGATGCTACTCGTCGGGGTCCTAGCTGCCCTCGTGGCCCTAGTATGGATCTACATGGGACCTATTTTTGTACTCCAATTGTTTCTGGTTGTTGTCATTGCGTATTTTGTATCCGGTGGACGGCTCAGGTGGTTCTACGTGGCGGCCAAAACAGCACCCCGAGACATAAAGTAAGTTCACTAATCATTGTTTTCATACAATAACTTGAAACGTCACGTATGTTATGACACATTTGTGATGAGGAGTTTTTTGTCAGCGTATTCGATTGCTGTGGATGTATCGGGTGCATACTTTTACGAGGGGAATGAGTACCATTGCATGTAGGCCGAGAAAGCGAGAGATTCCAAGTTGTAACGGGATTTTGAATGAGTTTCTACGGTACTTCTGGATGCTGTTTTCATACGGTTCATGGGAACCTTGATGCTGCATCGGGGATCACTAGTTTATGGGCTAAATGGGCGATACGATAAATACAGTATATTTTATTTCGTTGATATCTCGGAAACTAGGTGATTAGGAAACATATTTAGAGATCTCTAAGGTAGAGAATTAAAGTTTCTGGAAATGTCGGATGAAGGAGTACTTTAAACCTTTTCGTTTTGAAGGTATTTGAGAGTTTCGAATTTATGTTGTGTATGTAGAAAATTAATCAAACATTCTTATTTGGGGGAGGATGGGGTAAAACGGACACTTTTGAGTTTTTCTAAAATATTCATAACTCAGAACCAGATTTATGAATTGAGCTCAGTTTACGCTCATCACAAAAAATTGAAAAATAAAACTTCCATTTCATGAACAATTCAACATGTCATGAATATTTAAAAAAAAGTCAAGTGTCCGTTTTACCCTACCTCCCCTATATTGTTTCATCTCCCAATTTAATTGGTTTGAAATCGTGACAAAAGGTTTTTTGGAGAAAATAGAATTAGCGAAATTTCTTTCGATAATTTTTTCTGATGATTCTAGTTATAATTCTATTTATTGAGAAGATGTTGGAGATGTTGTACAGAATGTGTGTCATGAAGTGGTGAAATGCTAGCTTGAGGAAACGGATATCGACTGATTTTTCTTAGGATTATATTTTTTGCAAATTTATAATACAAGAGATTCGCTAAACTTTTTTATTTTGAAGGTATTTAAGCGATAGTTTACAATATATGTTGTTGAATAGTAAAGAAAATGATCAAGCATTCTCATTGATATTGTTCATGACAAGAGGTTTTTTGGGAGAAAATTAAATTCCTCTCGATAAATTTCCCTAATTCTAATTATAATTCTCTTCGATGAGAGAATGTTGGAGAAGTTGTATAGAATGTGTTTCATAAATTGGTTGAATGCTATCTTGAGGAAAAGAATATCAAGTCATTTTTTAAAAATTGAATTCTCAACAAAAAATAGTCTCGAAGAATTTTTTCAAATCTGTTGTTTTCAAAAATATTACAGAAATTATTTGAAAATGACTTCCGGCATCATGTGCCATTGATTGACCATTCGATCTACAACTATGCTTGTTTCTACTCATTTACGTAGTTATGGAAATACATGGATGAATGATGCGCATTGAAAAGGCGGTTGGGTTTAAAGTACAAGCTGTGATACTTCTCGCGTTTAATTAACGAAACTATTTTTTTTCCGTTTGTTTGAATGGAATATTATCATTATTAAATCAAAGTTATATTATCTTCGAGTTTCGCGGAATACTTTGGCGAATGAGGCGTCTGTCGTAGGTTTCCTGATTAATTTTCGAAATCTTGAGAGATAAGGACTTTTCCTTAACAGCTCTGACATGTGCGTTCCTTTTGTCACTAGTCGTTCTATGATTTCGACGACGGGAGCTGTTTGTATATGTTTCGTGAATTTTCCGGAATGTGTAATTACAATTTCCGCATCGACCGGAGAGTTTTATCGCGAATACTCAATAAACAATCAATTTTTGATCATGAAGATGTTTTTTTATCGTAAAAAGATTTGTTTACATTTATGCAGAAATCGTCTCCAAAGGTGAAATCATTACTGTTAATCATTTGTAATGAGAGAATTAATTTTCTTCTAATTTTCTTACAAATTAGATGATGATGCTTTGAATTTTTTGCTCCCATCGAAAATTTCAGTTGAGAATTTATCAATTTGGTATCCTTTTACTACTGAATTTCCTATTTAATTCTATTTTATTTGTCTCACGTGAGTAATTGCCTCTCTGCGGAAATAAAAATCATCCCGTGAACCCGAGATATTAATTGCCTCCATGAAATATACTAAATTTGAAATATAAATTCGAAGATAACGCTTTGAATTTCTTTCCCCATCGAAAACTTCAGTTGAGAATTTGTCGATTTATTATCACTTCACTATTAAATTCCCAATTTAATTCTATTTCACTTGTCTCACGTGAGTAATTGACTCTTCGCGGAAGTAAAAACCATCCCGTGAACGTGATAGTGGCTGTATCGATGAAATATCATACCCTGGGGTTTCCACGTCATCGAGGGAGCAGGAAGAAATAAGCGAAGATAATCGAGGATTGATTCTATCACGCGACATGTCGTGTGTTTCAATGGTCATTGCGCACCAATTGGTAACGTGGTTACGTCCATTAAACGAGGCGATCAAAATTTACGCAGGAAATTGATATTATCAGGAAATAATTATTTAATCATGCTATTTCGCGAGGTCTTCTGAGGCGGGAGAGTTCAGTTTCGAATGACGGAATTGTCATTCTGAGTTACTGGACACGTGGGAGAAATTTATTGTTTAATTTCAAGGACTCGTGTGACTTTCAGGATTTTTTCGCAGGATAAAGAAGATATTCTTAATTTTTTTTTCCAAGATCTTGATTTTTTTCGTCTGTTAAAGTCATTATTTTTGACAATGCCATTTTGTTTATGTTTTTTGTTGGTGTTGTATGTTTTGAAAATTATTATTACTTGTTTCATAAATGTAATGTCACAATTTAATAGCGAAGCTGTGGGACGATTTAAAACGATTTTGATTATTCAAATTCGTCTCAAACATTCTACGAGACAGGCAATTACGAAAATTTTGCTATCTCCTTTACATAAATAATGAGTATTTTATAATGTAAAATATGAACTAATGGAATAAATCAATATTTCGTTGTTTATTCCAGGGCTCTACTGAGATTTGGCCATCTCATGTGGTGGATGAGATGCAACGAGAAGAAAAATACCAGTGTTGCTGATCTATTCCGACAGCATGTCGCCAAGCATCCGAATAAACCCTGTTTAATATGTGAAGACCAAGAGTGGACTTTCCAGGAGGTAATTTCACATTTGAAATTTAAATTTACTGGGAAAATTGAAGAATAGGTGACCTCGAACTGTTCAAATCCATCGGAAACGAAAGATGTGACTCAACACTTAAAAATTTTTATTTCTAATTTTCGGTAGACTTCTAAAAAAATTTCATTGCATTCTAGTTCCCTTGAAAATTTTTCATGTCATGGAGAAATCAACAAGAACTGTAAATTTCGGTCCAATTATTCCACGAAAATTAAAGAATAGGTGACCTTGAACTGTTCAAATCCATCGGAAACGAATGATGCGACTCAACACTGTTAAAAAAATTTATTTAAAATTTTCGGTAGACTTCTGGAAAAATTTCATTGCATTCTAGTTCCCTTGAAAATTTTCCATGTCATGGAGAAATCAACGAAAACTGTAACTTTCAGTCTAATTATTCCACGAAAGTGTGTAGAAATCAGTAGAATTCCGTTGAATATATTCCTGGATTTTTATTCAACTTTTCTTCTAAATCGCAAATTAAAAATAATAAATAATCAAGTGAATATTAACTCAATAATTCATAGGTAGAAATATTGAAATTTCCACATTACCATCCACAATGCAGAAGTGTTCAGTCGCAGACGATGTTCTCGATTCAATTCATGCTAATTGTCTACTGAAGTTTGTGGAATCATTGTTAATTACGCTTGGCAAATTGTTCATAATATTTTCACTGGCGACAATAGGTTTATTCTATCGGAGAGAAAACCAGAATGAAAATACGAACCTAGTGTCTCCATTGAATTGTGGAGAATGGAATGTGCACGTTAAATCTGTCGTAAAATATTTAGAGAATAGTATTTAACCGTCGGAATCGTGAATAATTGATCACAATTGTGGTTCATTCCCTGATCGTACTTGAATGATTGATTGTGGGAGATTGCAGAAGTGTTGGAGTTTACGCCACCTGCTGTCGATCAAGCGCTCGCGATATTGTTTACATCGCAAATATTAAATATCCCTCAGGCTTCGTACGAGATATTTTTTTCCTGGACTGTTAGGAAGTGTTGAGGTGCCATGGACAATTCGAGAGTAATTTTCACGGGCAAACAATCATAAAATTTCCAATTTCACTGAAGATTTTGTGGAATTACATATTTTAGAGCCGCTGGAAGACGAGAATTTTACGACTTTAATTTTTAATGATTTAATGATTTATTTTAATTCAATTATTTTTTATGAATTTTTTCTTACTTGAATGTTTAATGAATATATAAATATTTAGTGTCAAATGACGCAGGATTTTTCATCAAGCGAAAATTCTAGAATATATTTACTTGAATTTTTCTGATTTACCTCTCGGAATTATTGAACTGAAATTTAGTTTACATCGATTTTTTAAATGAAATTGTCATTTTTGAACACAAAATTTTAGTAGAACTGTCACTTAATGAAAATTTTTAAGAAGAGGGAGAAAGTACCATGAAATTTCAAATTTCCAGGAATCGAGAATTTTCTAAATTACTTGAATTTCGATGAAAACATGAACATTCAGTACCAAATGCGCTGTATTTTCAATTAATACTAAATTCAAGAATATATTTACCAGATTTTGTTTATTTCTGTTAATTTTCATGGAACAAAAATGAATTGGTAGAATAAAATTGAAACAATTTTATTCTACCAATAAAAAAACGAAAATGGAAATGAAAATAAAAATTAAATTCCTATCTCGATGAAAATTTCCAAGAAATATAAAATTGTCATTTAAGGATGTCGTGAATAACTGCATTATAATTTGCAGATCGAGGATCTCAGCAACAAGGTCGCGACAATATTTAAAAATCACGGGTACAGAAAAGGCGATACAGTGGCACTATTGATGGAAAATCGACCAGAGTACGTGGCTATCTGGATAGGGCTGTCTAAGCTCGGTATAATCATCCCCTTTATCAATACCTATCTGAGGAAGAGTTCATTGCTGCACAGTGTGAACATTTCAAAATGCCAGGCGTTGATTTTCTCCGTGGAATTGGCTGACGGTGAGTCAAAAAAAATCCTTCTAGATTAGAAATATCCGGAAATGATTTGGGTGATCAACAGATGAACTGACTAGAGTGACAAGAATATCAGAGAAGTTTACGAAATGATGATCGATATTTTCATTTGTCATTGTTGAGCAGCTGTGAAAGACATCGCACCCTCTCTGGACGCAAAAATAGCTCTCTACAGATTTGGTGGCGAGGCAGGAGCTGATGCCTCAGGTCTCAAAGAGAAGGACTTGTCGGCCCTCGTGGCTGACGCCCCCACAGTGCCTCCAGTTATCCAAGAGAAAGGAAATTATAAGGATAAACTTCTGTACATTTACACTAGCGGAACAACAGGATTGCCTAAAGCTGCTGTTATCACTAATTACAAGTAATATTTCATTCACTCTTCATTTTCGCTTCCTCTTTACTAGTTCATTATATCGAGCACTCATTGCCATTTATTCACATTCCTTCATCATTTACGAGATTTTTTTTCCAGAGAGTAAATTAATTTCCTAAAAAAATTGTTCAACATGTATTCCGTAAAGTGATTGATCAAAATCAATCCAAGTCCTCGTGATTTTGATAAAACATTCAGTTTCAGGAAAAAATGTCTAGACATTTTTTTAATCAACTGAGTTTATCAATTGATTATATTGAGATACGTTTCATTCCAGATTTATGTTCATCGCTGCTGCTATCCACTTTCTAGCTGCATTCAGAAGTTCTGACAGATTTTATGCTCCACTTCCGTTGTACCACACTGCCGGTGGTATCATGTCAATAGGTCAAACATTACTGTACGGTGCGACCACAATCATCAGGAAGAAATTCTCAGCTAGTGCGTACTTCGATGATTGCCGCAAGTACAACTGCACGGTGAGTCTACTTTTAATTCTGTTCAGGTGACCGGAATTCCAGAATTGAACTCTTGTTTTATAATATACATTCACCTTCAAAAGGATTAATTCAATCCTGGGAGGAAATGTCGAGAGCTACCTTTGAGTTGAATTGAATAATTCATTTTTCATTCACGAACGTTCGAAATATTGCTCATTAATTAACAATTAATTCAGTAGCAAAGAGGGAATACGGTACAACTCAATTTTGACTATTGACCAGTTTTCAATGAATATCTCGGAATCTAAAGGAGATAGCGAAATTTTTGTTATAACCTTTTTTGTAGAGCCAATTGAGTGCTACAACAAATGTAATTACGAAAATTTCGCTATCTCTCTTAGATTCCGAGATATTGATTGAAAACTGGTCAATGGTCAAAATTGTCTCCTTTTACCACTTCGCTACTGAATTAAGCTTCATGTGAATTCCCTACTACGTGCATTTGATGTCATGAGGATGTCTATCATGTTTAGGTGGCACAATACATCGGAGAAATGTGTCGTTACATCCTGGCAGTGCCTCCGAGACCAGAGGACAGCCAACACAACATCAGAACGATATTCGGGAATGGGCTGAGGCCGCAAATTTGGAAGGAGTTTATCAATCGATACAAGATATCCGATGTTAAAGAATTTTATGGAGCCACTGAGGGCAATGCTAACATAGGTAATTAACGAGAGTTATTGATAAATAAAGCGTTATCGCAAAGGAAATTGCAGTGATAAGATATCACTCGTGTAAAGTCGGAATGCATGATGTTTGAGGGAAACATTTTCTTTCAGTGAACAGTGACAATACGGTGGGTGCAATTGGATTCGTGTCACGGATAGTTCCACAACTTTATCCCATTTCCATCATCAGAGTTGATTCTGATGGGGAGCCTATCAGAAACGCTAAAGGCTTGTGCATACCTTGCGAACCCAGTGAGTATTCAAGAATAAGAAGAACGATCAGGTTTTAATATCTAAATTTATCAGAACATTTTACGATGATTTTATTATTTAATAAGAGATTGATGAGATAATGAAAAAAATTATTTTTTCATTACAGATGAGCCTGGTGTTTTCATCGGCAAAATAATTCCCAACAATCCTCACAGAGCTTTCCTGGGATACGTGGACGAAAAAGCGTCTGAGAGAAAAGTTGTAAATGATGTGTTCGTCAAGGGAGATAGTGCTTTCCTCTCAGGTAAATGCAACCTCGAATCGTACAATTTTAGAAAGATATGTTGATCCCCTAATTTTTAAAGCTAAAATGTCAGTTTGAAAATAATAAAAAAAATGAATTCAATAAGTATAAATTTACATAATTATTTTTCCAGGGGATATCGTAGTAGCTGATGAGCTGGGTTACCTCTACTTTAAAGATCGCACAGGAGATACGTTCAGATGGAAGGGAGAGAATGTTTCTACGTCAGAGGTCGAAGCTATCGTCAGCAATCTCGTTAATTACAGAGACTGTATGGTTTATGGTGTTGAGGTAGATCTTTATTTTCCACTGAATGATGGAATAAAATTTGGCCGTGACTATTCGCACCATTGCGTGAATCACTCCCGTACACTCCATACACTCCACGCATGCGTGAAGTTTGTGTGTTTCACGCAGCCGAATTTTCATACTGCTGTGTATTTCACGCAGTTGAAGTTTTATACTACTGTGTGTTTCACGCAGTTGTATTTTTATAC